TGGAGTGAAGTTGCTGAAAGGTGGGGGCAGCTGAGTGGTACTCTCTTCCTTACAGGATAAGGAAGTAACATGTAGAGTGCTAAGAAAACATGTGAGCAGGCTGAAGTACTTTCCCTTCATCCTCTCCTCCTCCCCAAACTCCTAGTCTTTCTTTTCAGTGCTGGGTATTGAATTCATGAGTCTTGCACATGGCACCCACTTTCTAGATGCCAAGCTACACTTGTGGCCATCCTTTGACTCCTGACATACTGTAGGGTTCTTATTATGGAACAGTTTGCATAACACCTAACAAATGGCTCAAACCCATAAAGTTATATAGTAGAGGCTGGAAGTTTGGTTAGAGTAAGGTGTGGATTCTGACAAAGACTGGAAGAAAAGCTGAATTTGGTGTCAAAACAAACACTCAAGTAGAATTGTGTGTATATCTATGTGAGTGCACAAATGTGATTCATCACAGTGGGGCAGAATTCAAAAATTTTCCACGGGAAGAGCTTAATTGTTTCCAAAGCCAGAAGCTTTCTCCCTCCCCAACCCCTCTTTTCCTTTCTATCCTCCTGCCTCAGAACCCAGAGTTCTAGTATTCCAAGTGTGTTCCTTCATGCCTAATATAATACTTACAGGCCAATCTGCCCATCTCTATTAGATGTTTCCGGTGCATACTTGTATTCTAAGAATGCAAACTATGAAATCTGAATTTATTCAACATAACCAGCCATTGAAGATACACAACAAGTATTTGTTAATTAAGTATCTAGCTAATGGGAAACTAAAAATAATCTCACTCCCTGAGTTGTGACAGGGCACTCCTGTTGGGTGTGCAGCCAGAGTAGGAGGTACATTCTTGTTTCAAAAATGCAGCCATCATGCTACATATTTTGTGTTTTGAAGGAGTTGGCATATGGTTAAGAGCAAGTTTGAAGTCATAATGATCCGATTTTGAATCTTGTTACAAGTCACAAGGACCCAAGGCATGTGGTCTATTCCCTTATGTATCAGTATTCTCATCTGCATATTATGAGTAATAATTGAATCTACCTTACAACATTGTCATGAAGACTTACTGAGTTAATGAACACACATCACTTTAGAATGGCTGTGCTACATCCCCAGTGCACTACAGGAGGAAGCAAGACTACTAAGGAAAACGGCAGCATGTAGCTATAGTTCCAGCTTAGGACACCTGTCTCCTTCGGAGTTATGGCTGATAACAGAATGCATATAGCCTGGTGGCAGAACTTCCCTACCACTATCTGATCAGGCATGTGGGGTGAAGTTGCTGACCCCATAGAATTGTTCTTAAAAGCATGGTCAGGGGACTGGAGAGATGGCTCAGTGTTTAAGAGCACTCTTCCAGTGGAACAGGGTTCAATTTTCAGCATCTACCTGACTGCTTACAACTGTGTATAATTCTGGTTCCAGGGGGCCCAACATCCTTTTCTGGTCTCTGGGCACCAGGCATGTAAATGGTGCTCAGACATACATGTAGACAAAGCATCTATACACGCACAGCAATTACTACCCCCCCTCCAATAATACTGTCAGTGTGGGAACACAGTCCAGGAATGGAGTCATGTGAGGGGACTTCTGAGTGCTTGTGAGAAAAACTCCAAGAAAACAAGACAGGAGTTTCTTCAAAACAGACTCGTTTGTGGAATGTGTTTTCATGCTCCTCCCAGGTGTAGGGGATAGGAATGAGCTTACTTCAGCTGTTGTTATTCATGTGTCATCAGAGTGTAAGTTGCCTGATGTTCTGATAAAGTTGGTTGTTGCATGAGACTTCTGACCATCTCATTTTTAGGCCTGCTCTCCCAGGTTCACACTGTCAGCTAAGTGGTAAAACCAGGTCAGGATACAGGAGAAGTTCTATTGCAGAAACACATTTAGTGACAAATGCGCCATTGTGTCATTTTTTTTTTTCTATCAATATCTGTGAGTACTTTGATATCTTAAACCTTTCTCAGATTAATCTTTTAGTAGTATATACATTTTTATGTCACCAGGCTTGCACTGAACCATTTCAATGGCTTCACTACCTTTTGATTAAAAAATATTTTCAAACATTTCTGTATTGGGAGTATGTGTGTGTGTATAGTAAGAGGACAACTTGTAGGAGCTGGTTCACTCTTTGTAGCATGTAGATTTCAGAGACTGATCTGTTTGTCAGGCTTGCATGCCTTTACCCACTGAGCTGTCTTGCCAGCCCCCACTCTTTAGTATTGAGACAAGCTCTCTCAATGAGCCTGAAGCTCCATGATTGAGTTATGCTGGGTGAACAAAGACCGTCATGGACCCTACCTGTCTCCATCCCACCAGGGCTTGTGTGCCAGGCTCACATTACTACACCAGCTTTTTGCATGAGTTCTGCGGATCTGAACCCATATCCTCATTCTTGAGGGCTAGCCACTTTACAGAATGAACATCATTCCCAGCAATGTCAATTTTACTTACAAATTGGCTTTAAAAAGACACACTTTTAAGTCACAAATTTACTAGGAGAGCTGCCTGACAACAGGTACCAACATTTTTTTTTTCTTTGCTAAAACTATTTGTAAGTGTTGGGTATATTTATTACTAAGACAGGATTATCTTAAATAACATATTTATCGACTGTTACAGAATAATCCATAATGATCAGAGGACATTAGAATTTCCTATTTGCTGATAACTTAGCAGATGCCTTGTTGGTGTCCAGTTTTCAGCAGGGTCCTAGACCTCCAAGTCAGGCTATGTGGGTTTGAGAAAGTGATTTTCCTAACCAAAATAATAACATTATGATTATAGATTTTATGCTAGTGTTTTGGTGAGGTTAAGTTGTATGAGGCCTGACTGCTTGTTAAGCTGACTACAGCTCTGGATCGCACGAAATGACTAATTTTCTCCAACTTTCTGCCCGAAAAACACAACTCAACTAACTGTCAGAAATGTGAGGCCGTGGTGACTCCTCAGAGTCAGGAACATGGCCAGCTCATTTCTAAATGGAAACTCCCAAGTGCCACAGCAATCAATCCTCAGACATATAATCCGACTTGCAGAGTTGGAATGTTCTCTAAAGGTCAGGTCTTTGGATGAAGAATGGCAGTTTAGAGGGTTACGACGCAGCAGAAATGCCTAAATCTGGAGCAGTGCTTGAGAACTGGAGAAACAGCTTGTCTTCAAATAGCAGAGAGGAAGAAAGAACGGAGGGCTGTAAGCTGAAAGTCTTTTGCTTAATCACATTTCCTACTGCCTCTGCCTGTATCTTATTAAAAGTAAGCTAAAGAAAAATGGCTGGGCATAGTAGTATCGTGGTCATCCTTTCACAGGTGTGCTGGGGAGTAGGGAAAAATTATTAAGGCTGTATTTGGGAAAACTGGAGAAACGCCAAATTCGAGGTGGAAAAAAAATCTAGTTTTTGGCTTCAGAAATTGGAAACTTTCCGCACAATTTTTTCTTCAATAATTAGGATCTTGTCATGCTGTCCTGGCTGGCTTTGAATTCGTGGTGTTCCTGTTTCATTCAAGATTAGGCTTCCATCACCACACCTGCTTTCTACATATACAAAGGAGGTCACGCTGGGCCTGGTAGTGACACTGATCATAATCCCAGGACTTGGGGCACAGTGGTGGAGAAAGGAAGGTCACAAATTCAAGACCGGCTCCGGGTATGTAACGAGTTCCAGTCTGGCTCCGGCTACCTGTGACTCCATCTCCACAAAATAAAACCACCAGAAAGTGGGCTGGAGCCAGAGTTCCCATCTCTTTCCATATTCTCTGTATTTTGCTATCCCTTCCACTCCCAAACGCCTTCTATCCACATGCCGGCTCCGCAGAGGCATGAGAGACTCCTGCAGTTTATCAAAGTGAAGCAACCGAAGAATTCTTTTCTTCAAATAGGCAAATCTTGTTAGGCAGGGACCTGAAACTGCAGCTTCTAAGCAGTTCTAAACCTGACAGGATTGTAAGAATCTGATACTACCTACTTTTTTTCAGACTGGCCAAAAGCGAGTAACTAAGAGTTCTGATGCTCCCGGCCACTACCAACCAGCTGCATGACCTTGGGCGGCTGGGTTAAAGTTTCCCCCGGCTACAGCGACGAATGGTCTTCAAAAACGATCTAATACCTGTTCTGAACACAACTGCACGGCTCCTACACGGCGCTTAGAAGGCCCTTAGAGCGGTCTCCTAAGTAATTCTTGGACCGCAAAACGCTTCCGAGAGCAAACATCCTGCACAGTGCGAGCACACCTGGGCTTTGCAAGTCGCCTTACGGGAACCCGTGAGCTCCGCGTTGCTCCTCCGCCCACGTTCCGGGGCGCTCGGAAAACCGATGCTCCCGGGAGAGTCTGCAAAACGGACTCGACGCGGGACGCGACTGGCCGTCGAGGGCGGCAATTCAAGCCCCCCCACCTCCCCGAGCGACACACACAATCCGGATCCTAGCATCCCCGCCCACCCGCGCGGGCCACACCTCCCGCTCCTAACCGGGACCCGGGACATCACTCTTATCCTCAGGCCCCACCACGATGTTCTCCCCACCCCGTTCCTCTTCCACGTGACACCGGCCGGAACCGTCACTTCCGGCGGCGCGGGCAGCGCGCCTGCGCGAGGAGCCCGGCTCTGCAAGAGGTTGGCACCGGCGCCGCACCCCCTCACCCCCAACTGCCGCAAGAGGCGGGCAGGCGGCATCGGTGCGAACGGGACGCCAGCGGGCTGCGGTCTCCCAGGCTGCGCAGGCCGCCAGGCCGGGCGGCCACGCCCACTTCGGCCGGCCCCGCCCTCCTCCCCGGAGGCTCGCGCCCCGCGCGCCAGGCCCCGCCCCTTCCCCGCCCCTGCCCCGCCCTCCCCGCCGCGCTCTGCGGGCGCCGGGGCAGCTGCAGCGGGCGAGCGGGCAGGCGGGCGGCTGGGGCTGCGCGCTCGGGACGCGCGGAATGCGAGGCGCGGCAAGCCGCTGCGTATCGTAGCTCTCTCGCTGGCTCGCGCGCGCGAAGGGCGGCAACCCCACGCGGACGGTCGGCCGCGCCTCTCCGCGCTCCGTGTCGCGCGCGCCCTTGTGCCCTCCTGGTGCCCTCCAGCGCGCCGGCGGGACCATGAAGAAGTTCTCTCGGATGCCCAAGTCGGAGGGCAGCGGCGGCGGGGCGGCGGCTGGCGGGGCCGCGGGCTCCGGGCTCGGCGGCGGCGGCTTCGCAGGCTCGTCCGTGGGGGTCCGGGTGTTCTCGGTCGGCCGCTACCAGGTCACCCTGGAGGAGTCGCTGGCCGAAGGTAGGGGCATCGGGAGGCAGGTGAGGGAGGCCGGGGTGTGGCGGGTGCGTGGCTGAGGGGCCGGCTTCGGGGGCTGGAGGGGGGCTCGCCGGCCGCCCCGGTGCGAGCACGGTTGTCGGCTCGGGAGTTTGAAATCGGTTTCTGTTCTTTCTGGCGCGGGGGAAGAAATAGAAGACGTCCCAGTAAGTGATGTGGTGTCATGATTGGACCCGTGACTCATGAGAGGGTCAGATGGAGCAGTGCTGGGACACTGCTCCGCCAGCTGTGGCTCTGGCGGTTGTCCTGCCTTGCACTCGGGTCCGAGCTTCCCCGACATGACACTCAGGGTAGTACGTTTGTTTCTGCTAAAACCCCAGAACAAAACAGGACTCCCAAGCCCCAGTGTATATGGCTGTACGCATGCAGATAATGTGTATATGTGTTGGCATCATCCCCAAATTCAGTTAAGTGGTTGCTTGTGGCAGGGGCGGGGGTGGGGGGGGGACGTGAAGCGCGTTTATTTGTGTTGTTTAGAATCTTCTCCCTGGGACAAGGTCCTGTTTTTGTCTGCCCAGTCTGTCATTTTGTTAGTACTTTAAAAGGCGAAGTGGAACAGTTTAACTTTCCATTGTGAGGTTTTGGATGGCCCTTTCATTGTCTGATGGAGGTTATGACAGCAGGTAAAAGTCTAGTTACAAAAAAAAGTTTACTCCATGTTTTAAAAAGTGCTAGACTTTAGTTTTTGTTTTTCTGGTGTAATTGGTTTGTAGAGAATACTTTCTAATTTCTTACTGCATGCCTTGACTTTGAAGTTTTGAGTGCAGGATATTAAGAAATACGTTGAAAAATCCACGAGAAATACTTCTTGGTGGTAAGCAAATGATTGAAAACAAATAAAGCTAAGAAAAAAAGAGACTGTAGGGAGAAGTTTCGATTTGCCAGTTAGATGTTGACATGGTTTGAAAACAAGACAGATTCCACTTGTATTTTTGAAATTCTATGAACAAAAGGAAATCAGTGTGAGAAAAAGCTGAGGTTTCAAGTCTATAAAATACAGGAAAAGCAAACTTACATTATCAGGGGTGTGTGTCATGGTGTTGCAAGCACTTGGTCAGAATAGCCACCCTTTCTTAACCTTGGTTGAAGTGGAGGGAACGGATTGTCAGATTCCAGAGCTCATCTGTGAGTGATTTTGATAGATTGCTACATTGCAGACTTTGCTAGCTAGCTCTTGATTTCCATGTGAACTTCAGGTGTTGGTTAAGTTGGGCTGTAGGTGTTGGGCATTGGTGGCTATTAACACACACACACACTATAGTTCAGTTGTTTAGTAGTTCACAGAAGTATAGCTTGAATGCTACCCTCCTCGCTGAATTTCAGGTTAAGTCTTCTATTTAGTATTAAGGCATTACTGACATTTTATCAATAGAATGCAAATTTTAACATAGCCCTATGGTACCTCATACTCAGTAACACAGCACTGATCTCAGTGTTATAAGAGAGAGAGAGTGTGTGTGTGTGTGTTAGTAGAGATTTAAGGCAGGGCCATATTACCAGACTTTTACCTTTTAAATTTTTGAGTCAAAGTCCTGCTAAGTTACTAGGCAAGCCTTGAATTTTTCACCCTCTTGCTTCAGCCTTCCAGCGCTGGGATTGCACGATGGTTGTTATCAACAAACATGGCTTCCACTATTCCCTTAAGTGTTTGTTTGTTTCTCATGTGTACATGTTTGTGTGTCTCTGGGTGCATTCACATGAGTGCAGAACAATGTCAAGTATCTTCCTCAGTTGCTTTCCACCTTAAATTTTCAGCCATTGGACCCATATGTCTTACTGGGCTGGCTGGCCAGTGAGCTCCAGGGGTCCACCTGCTTTCCTCTCTTGCCAGCACTGGGTTACAGAAGAAGGCCCCAGGGTTCAGCTTTTATATGGAAGCTGGGAATCTGAACTTAGGTCCTAATGTCTGTTTGACAAGCACTTCATCTTTTGATTTCTGCCTCATTAAAATTTGTTTTGTTAATTTGAGGGTGTGGTGGTGGTCTCCTTTAATCTTAGGTAGGTGAATCTCTGTGGGTCTACATAACAAGTTCCAAGACAGCAGGGCTACAGAGAGATACCCTGTCCCAAAACCAAAGAACACAAAAACCACGAGATACCTACTTATTTAGTTTTAATGAGTGATGGAGTGGTAGATGGAATTTCCTGTCTTTACACCATGGCTCCTGGGACCACCAGGTTTAAGTCTCTAACAGCCAGGGCCTACCCAGGCTCCCTTCCCATGTGCAGGTGTTCTCTTTGTAGAATACACAATTGAAATATGTTACTCTTAGTGATTCTGCAAGTTAGACAAGATGTGTAAGCACAAGGCTGGTTCTCATTTCAGTGTGATTAGTCAGTAATTGGCAGATTTGCCTGTCATTTGAGGTGTGTATGAAGAGGTTCTCCATTTAGAGTGAGCCTGTCTTTTCAATAAACCAGTTTCTGTCATTCTCCATGTAATTAATTGTGTTCCAAAAGTCAGACAGAACATGGCTTTAGCAGATACTGAATCATTGCTTCCAGGGGAAATGACAGGTTAGATACTACTTAAGCCATGGTTCAGGGCATTTTTGTTGGCCTTGTCCTGTGTGTATCTGTGTTTAAAGACACCTTATTTAATGTATATTAGTGATTCATTAGCATGTCATTATCTCTAACTGAGGCCAAAATGGAGATTATCTAACACAGGATTTCTTTGTAAGGAACGCATAGCCTCCCTTGCACTTGTGAACCTTAGACCTCTCTGTGCCCAGGAGCTATTTTCAACATAGAAATCACCAATAAAAGCAGATGAGAAAAGATAACACTTACCATGGGAAGGACACTTACAGTGTGAGGGTCAAAATAAGGGCATGCAAGTCAGGAGAGTCACTTTGTTGACTGTGTATATCTGTAAATAACCGTCTGTGCTGTGTGTATTGATTTGAGGATTAAAGTAAATTTTAGCATATAGACAAAGTGACAGATATGGAATGCTAAATGATGGTCACCTATTGTCTTACATGTATGTGTATGGACTTGTATACTACTATAGTTACAATGAAAGCATTTCCAGGGGTATAAACATTTTGTCTCTTTAGTCAAGGATGTAGATACCTGAAAATGCTTGTAACTTTCACCCTTCCAGTTTCTCTCGAAAATTTAGAGTGCTGATACCACAGTGAGGCATACTCATGTGTTTTCTCAAAAATGATCCAGTTTCAGGAGTTGGGCTTTAAGATGAGGCAGAGTCACATGCCAGTGTTAGCTTGAAACAACATCCACTGTCAAGCACAGATAATTCAGGGTAGTCTTTAAGCTTTCATTAAAAGGTAGGGCTGGTTGTTTATTCATCTGTGTGGTCAAAAGAAAGGTTTTAGTGCTAGTGTAGGGAATTTGAAAGTGGGAAGAATGCTTGCTTATTCAGTTTTGTATTTTTGGAATTGGGGGTCATGTAGTCCTGGTTGGCCTCAAAACTTGCTGTGTAGCTGAGGTTCAGTTTGAACTCTTGGCCCACACTTCCCAAAGTGCTGGGATTGCAAACATGTGCTTACACTGTGCTCAAGAAGTTGATTCTCCATGACTGTTATTTTTTTCCCACCTCCATATTTAGTGTGTAGAATGGTCTTAAAGAGGGGATGTCAAGAGTAGAACACTGTTGGGGTGCTGAGATAATTACTCTTGAGATTACCTGGGCTGAGTGGGAATGGCACTGAGAGTGTGGTGACTCTGTCAGTAACAGGAGGAAGGAGCTTAGAATTCTGTAAATGTAACTGAGTAGTTTTCTTAGCAGTAACTGTTTGGAGTGAGTGAATATTAACTGCTCCTCACAATATTTCAGGAAAATAGTAACACATGTACATTTAATTTTGCAGCAAAGTCAGTAGGGAAATGATGAGTTTAAGTATCTTCCTTGCAGAAATCATGTATGGCTACTCAGAGACTTAAGTTAATGTTCCCAAGAGAGGCCAGGAAGGACCGAGGGGGAGAATTTCACAGAAATATCCATGGTTGGTGTTGTTTCATATCTTTGTTTTAAGTGCTGCTCATACAATGAATGCAGCCATTCTCTAGCTCAGCAGAACTTGTAGTGAATGTAGAAGACACATGTTTAAAAAAACAAAAAGCATTTGGTTAATGTGATTAAAAACGAAGAGAAAGCTTATTTTTAGAGAGAATAGTTGAATTTGGATCAGGGAATTGAAAAAAAGCCTCTCAACACTTTAGCAGAAGCAAAGGGACAGGAAGCATTAGATAGGTGATATGTGAAGGCCAGGAGGCAGCAGTCCTATGTGAGGAAGACTATTAGGGGCTGAGATATGCTCAGAGTAGTGGACCATGGTGATGGTCGTGATGGAGAGGGCCATGTGGACCATGTTGATGGTCATGTCTGAGAGGGCCATGTGGACCATGTTGATGGTCATGTTGGAGAGGGCTCTAAGGTGATCTTGATAAGGGGACTAGGATACTGGGCTTTGCATGGCAGGCTGAGTTTGGATTTTACCTGAAATGTAATAGGAAAATATTGAGCAATTTAAACTGGTCCACTCTGATTTTCTTTTGATTATATAGATTGCTAGATAGAAAGGGGCTGAGAAATGTAAATTAAGATGATTAAAAATAACAGTGAAAGTGATTAAACTGTTACTTTAAGTGTTAGGGCCTTACTTTGTTTAAATGTTAGGGCCTTGGAGGAGTGTGCCGAAGGTGAGAAGAAAGGGTTAACATGACTTGCTTATGCAGCTTGTGGATAGAGGTAGCATATGCTAAATTAAGTGCAGGGCAGATTTGGGGAGGTATTGAGAAGTTCTTGAGTGGTTCCAGAATTGTTGGGTTGAGGTGTCTAAGAGGACATGCCTAGTGGAACTTGGGTACATGGTCTGAAGCTGGACAGTGATGTTTGGGCATAGAGATGTGCACTTGCCACAGTACACATGTGAGGGTCAGAGTTTTGGCTCCAGGGTGGAACCCAGGTCATCAGCCTCCTGATAAGTGCTTTACCT